AAAAGTATAAAACCATAGCCGCATATTACATCAACCGTCCATTGCCGGATAATGAACCTCCTCTACATAATTATCACGCTCAGCGTTTGTCATAATCTTTTTTTGTTTTGATGGCCACATGGCAAACTAGTACTACATTTTCTTTTTTTATTTACTGAGCATTTTTTTTAAGGGGGGAAAGTCATCGAATGACTGCTCCCGCCTGGGTGAGGTGGGAGGGAGTGTCAGACTCTTACTGACTAAAAACCACCCCGTTCCTTCTCCTGCACGTCGAGCCGGTGCCCCGGTTACCCGTTAGGTTCTACCGATCACCTGATGGTAAGCAAGTAAAGTATCAGCGACATCGCCCAATGGACTCCCGGAGGCGATACAAGTGCGTCACCAGCGTTTTGGGGATTAGAAATTTGAAGATTTTTGAAGATTCATAGATTGCGGAGATTGGGGAAGGGGGGAGGATAATTGGGCCTCCCGTAACCTCTACACACACAACGCAAGTGTTGTTTCTCGTCGGTTTTCTGTGAGGACGTGGTATCATTCTGGTTGAGCTGACCCATTCGTGCCGAAGCATGGATCTCCCACATTTCCCATTCTTCCTAAAAAGTTTCTAATTCTCCTTCCCAGGACATTTTAGGCCTATCTCGACGTCTTTTTGGTGAGAGGAGAAAATCATAAAATATATTTTCTCGCCTTGGGTAAGGTTAGAGGGAGTGTCAAAATCTTATTGACCATCCCGTTTCTACTCTTGCTTTGAGCGCCGGTAACACGTTAGGCTATTCGCAACTTAATAATCCAGTTCCACAAATGAATAGGTTTGTAAAACCCGTATTTTTATAAGTATTACTCGATAAGAGATTTGGCACGCACTAGGCATAATGGTTAGCTAGGGATTCCCCATCTCATTATTATGTCACTTAATAAAAATGTGACTGTTACGTAAACCGCAATGTTTTTTATCATTCAAGTTTACGTCATTGTACCTAATTTAAATATTTCTTTTGAACATTCTTAAAATTCGCCATTTGTAAGAAAAAACTAGTTTTTTAAGTTTTTTTTTATTAATTATTGCTAACTACGCATTGTAAGTTTTTCTGTGTTATTATTATAGGTACAAAATATGAAGGTTTAATTATAATGGAGAATTTTAATGACACCAAAATTAATGCGGAGTCGTCTAAACTGTAGTCTAAAAAGGTCATTCAAAGGCCAACATTTTGATAGGCCGAAAAAACTTAATTGTGTGAAAAAATGATGCTAACAAAAAGTCGGTAACCGATTCATAAAGTTTTTCTTCTTCCATCTAAAAGAGGTCAGTGGAAGATCAAACAGAGAGATGTAGAATTGTACAAATAAGGAAAAATAATTTTGTATAGGTATAATTTTTTTCCTAGGTTATTTCGGACTACTTATTTGGTACGTATTTTGCAGTAACTACCATTTTTCTACTCTTAAGAATTTGAAACTAAATTCGAAATTACAGTGGTTGTTATTTAGGTTTCTTAAGGTTACACTTAATAAACACGGCTCCAGCACGGTGGCGTTGCTTGCTATGGAATTGTGCGGGCGCTTATAGCTTTTTTATATTGAAGTTATGAAATATGTCGTACTACATACGATTTAAAGTTCATACTTAAATGACAAGTTAATTGCGGGGTTGGAGCCGTGCCGGAGCCATGCTTATTAGGTTAGGTTAAATTCTCTGTCATCGAACGATGACAGAGAATGGATAGCAGCGCTCTTTGAAATAATCTCAACCTTTTAAATTTCAATCTGTCTGCTATGCGTGGAAATTATGGCAAAAGTTCAAGTTGAGGAGGCCCACTATTGATGATGATGAATTACATGCTAAATTCTCAATAAAGTCCCTTTTTATTTTACATTATTTTTGTACTAAACTTTCGTGAGACATACTAAATAAATTATTATGTTTTCGGCTTACTCACGTAATCACGTTATTATTTGACGAGAAATTCGACTAGTTTCAAGCCATACTAGAGGCTCATATTCATGAGCAGCATTTCGCGACCTGCGACAAATAATTACGGGAATAAGCCGAAAACCTATGTAATAAATAAACTATTTACATATAGTTTTGTTGGACATGGCGTTAGATTATAAGGCATACCATGTACCTTTATTATTAATAAATGAATAAAAATAAATAAATAATAAAACTACTACTTTTGTTATCTACTTGATATTTAAATTTTTACATTAAAGGTACATTTTTAATCTTGTTTTCCAATATCTTATGACATTCTCATCTCCTTTATGACTGATAAACCCAGATAGGTATTCATGTTGTTTATTAAAATATAATTGAATATTTTTATTAAAACGGTGATAGTGCAATTAAATATGTTGCATACTCAAATTAATTATTATTGTCATTGTGATATATTTATCGCTGTAAAAGTAGGTGTTAAGTTTATGTCTGATCGTGTGTTATCAATATCGAAAATAAAAAAGTAATAAGAATCAAGTCTTAATGTTTTTTAAAGAAAAGTGGGTAACACATCTGTTGCAGATTGTCAGTCGTCATCGTCATCATCTGGAATACGTTCAAAAGACTTTTTTTCTAATGAGAAGGTTTGTATTAATTACCATACTAGGCAGATAACTTCGGGCCTGCGGACGGCGAACATGGGTGGCTCACCGTCCGACCAGAACTAGACCCGAGCATACGGTGCGTCGCGTTCCGCGTACGCCTCAAAGAACCATCAGACCACCACGGATGGGGCCCAACAGGGCTGATTCGGAGTCGCGGAGAACCTAATGGGTTACCGGGGCTCCGGCTCGACGTGCAGGAGAAGAAACGGGATGGTTTTTAGTCAGTAAGAGTCTGACACGAAAGGCAGATAACTTTGATTCATCAAAATTTGACCCTCTGTGACTGGTCATAGCTTGAGCTGGTAATACTAGGTTTGTTACTTCTATAAGTTATTTATCGACTGTCTGTACTTATTTGCCAATTGTTAGGTAAAACTTGATGAGCGCTACATTCTTCAAAAAGGTTTTGTAGGTACATATGTATTAATATGATTTTAGGCTCATTTATGTAACTGTTTGACGAGATACTCACAAGTTTCTAGTCATAGTAGAGGATTCATGGGCAGCATTCCGCGTTGCACAACGCGGTGGCTCTCGCGATGCTTTGAGTAAGAAACAGTTGCGTGAGTAACTCAAAAAGCAATAATTTATTTATATGTCTCACGAGATTTATAATAAAAACGTACCAATATATGTTTATTTTTAAGTACTCATCATTTGGTTGCTGTTGTTTTTCATAAGAATTTCGATCGTTCATGGTATTATGGGAATAGATTAGTCTCCTGTTACAATCGAACTAATAACTGGGAACAAGTAGGTGTATAATAAATTTATCAACCTACACTTTCAACGAAAAACAATCTTGATACCATTATACACGTAGGTACGTGTTCGCTTCCAAAAATAGTTCAGTTCTATCGAAAGACATTATTCTATACGTCCATTACTTTTGATTAAACTTATTAAGATTTACATAACCATAATCTTGAAATAAAGGAGAATGGCAGGTTTGTATGGAGGTTTGGTACCGCTATAAAATTTTGTATTTGTCATTGTTCTTACCAAGTGAATGATCTGAACGATAGATATTTTTATTATGAAGTTTAGAAAAAAATTACATATTTTTAGAACTTGGGGTTCAAAAGTTATTTCACTTTGAAAATGTGCAGATGGTACGTAAAGGCGGTATTACACTTGCCATTGCGTATTCGCTTCATTTGTACAAATATTTGTGAACTACGTATAAATGGCGTCCAAATAGTATCTATAAATATAAAAGCGTGCAAATATATGTATATAGCAAATGAAGACGAATAAACCCTCCACACATGGTCTGTTTTGGCCGAACACAACAAATACGCAACGTCAAGTATAATGCCACCTTTACGCAAAAGTACATAATATGACAAATGACAGATGACAGTTAATTAAAAAATGTCAATGTTGACTTATTTTTTATTTGGTTGTTTTGTTTACAAACTAAACTCTAAACACTGCTCGCTACTCGTGACTGTTACACTTTGTATTATGAGTAAATTAATTAACTGTTAATTCAGCAAGTATGCTGTAACTATAGAGTTTTACAGAGTATGCTTTACAATCTCTTTCATTTACTAGGTGCCTACGAAAATGCAAATTAATATTGTGAGCGACTGTCATTGGGTAGAAGGCCTACATTTAGCAGTGGACGTCTTGTGGTGGATATGATAAAACTAATGTCTAACTTCACCTTGAATCTTGCGGGCAGACGTAAGATTTAATGTGTAAAATCAAGATTCGAGGCAGAGGCCTGATATACAAATAGTCTTTACGTTAATTCGATTTAAACTTAAGCTTAGCTCTTTGAGAAAGTATTTCTTCTGAAAACTAGTTGCTTAGCTCGCGTGTAAGGTTTAATTTCTAATAAGTAAGTCAAATAAGTAAAATCATCATCAGTTTCATCATTAACAGTCTATAAGTGGCCTATGCTGACCGAAGGTCTCTTCTTACTGGATTAGGGTTAAGCATTAATCACTACGCTAGCTTAATGTGGGTTGGTGATTTCAAACTGATAATTAGAAATTATAAGCCCAGGATTCCTCTCAATGTTTTCCTTCACTGTTTGTCAGTGGTGTCTTTGTACTTTCTTAGATTATTAAATAATAAATAAAAAAAATATGTAACTCGAAAAAGTCACATTGGTACTTTGCTGTTGCAACTCGCACTCTCATGCATGAGAAACGGGCTTCTTAAACCTCCTGGCCACCACAACACAACTAAATAAATGTAAAATGAAAATGAACATTTTTGGTATAAAACTAAAGCAATCTAAAAGAAAGATGGCATTTATTTTATAGATTGTTTATATATAGTCACTAGGTACCTGTTTAAAATAAAACAAATGTATTATTTTGAAATACTTTTATTTCATTGTATTTAGGTTGTTTCTAGGAGTACTTCTTCTAAAAAGAGAGCAGGCGGTGTCATACAGCACACACTTCATTAATTGCTGATATCTGTAAACAAGTAAGATAACTGTAAATAAAGTAAACAAAACTACATTTTTTCCATTAGTTTCACATGTTATTATAATGTCTGATTCCCTATCTTAAAATAGAAAAGATAAAAATAAATATTTGATTACATTATTTGGTTTTACAATGTTAATATGCCTTTAATAGGGTATTCCTATAACACAGATCATAGGAGCTCAAACAGCATGCTAATTAATCAATTATTATAATTATAACATGTGTATAAACCTATTAGAAACCGGTTATACACTTCACATACCTATTGAAGCTCTGACAGCCGATCAACATCTTCTGGCCTCATCTGTTCTACAAACAGCAATGTTAAAGTGGGATTTGTGCCTGCTTACATAACACATCCTGATCCTGATAGTGAACACTATTAGGTGGTATGTCAGGTTGTGGTCTAATAGTTCTGACTCTTGTTAAGGCTCTCAGCCAGCATGGAACACGATCTTCATCATTGGAAGTAAGCTAAAAAAAGTATTATTATTAGAATGTCATATTGACTTTAAATTATATGATAATAGTATATGGTTAAGACAATAAATTATTACCTCTCGTGGCTGAATCTAATCAGATACTATATGAGCTAGTCTTTGCTCCTGTTCGTTGGCGCCTTCAATTAAACCCCTGCGTCACCTTATCCTTGCAATGGAATGCCCACATACGACACAGACATGTCGATGATCAGTTTGTTTGCTGGACATACTTTCAGGAACATCCCAATACATTGCTAATTGCCAGCCCAGCAAGCATGGCAAATATGGTCGGGAGGAGAGATCTAGAATAAAATGATACATTATAGGTAGATAACAACTTTCGATACGTCATGTGTAAACTAGGTAGGTACCTACTTACATCTCTAGGATAAGTCCACAATGGGATATTGTTGACCACGTCTAGTCTTCACTCTCATTTCCTAGAGCATGCCGTTTCATGCGACAAACTCTGGTTGTAATTAATGCCCTGTAAATTCGTTATCGCGACAAAATACAACACACTATGCACAAATGAAAATAAGTGTATTTTGGCAATTTCGGCTACGGAGGAACGGCTGCCCAACTGAACGTATCACCAGATGAATAAAATAACTTCCAATTTGTACAAACACATCATAACACCGCATTCGAAACCAACAGCAAGGCGCACTTGACATTGACAAATCGTCTTCAACAAAAAATGTCAAATACCAGTTCAACATTGCCATATTCAAGTTTGTGAAAATGTTAATTATCGTTAATAATCCATGTAGACCTCACAAAATGAAATTAAAATAATGATATTTACTTATAAAAAATGTTTGAAATGGAAAGGAAAATATTCCATTGATATTAAAATAAATGAGTTTATGAAATAGCGACATTCAATATACTCTGATTTCATGTTTACGCATGGCAACTTTATAAACGTCAATCGCTGTATGTTTTTAATTATGTAGCCGTTTTGTTGATTGCTTTTTATCATTATTGAATATCAGATTTTCTAGGGTTTCCCAAGTTCTAAAAATCTATTAAATATGCTAACATAACGTATTTAGAGGATTCTATAGCTGCCCAATTGCCCAAGGCAAAACAATGACAAATCTTTTTTTAGCAAAGCGGTACGAAATCTGCCGTTCTCCTTTTCATCACAATATCAAGATTCATACATTCATCTCTTATGCTTTCACGGCTACATTTGCAAGTAAGAGCCTCCAAGAAAAGTAGATTACTCAACCAAGCTTATGCGGCGCTCAGTCCATATGTAAAATTGAAACTAAGAACTGCGCCGCTTGCTTTGATGCTTAGAAAATAGGGCCCGTAGAGAAGTAGGACTAGCACTTATAATTTTAAAGGGACTGAGTGTATGCGGAAGCGTAAATTTAGTTATTAGTCCTTTTTTGAGGTGGAAAAATCATCCAATGACTTCTGCCGCCTTAGGTGACGTGAGAGAAAGTGTCATAAGAAAAAACAATTCCTATCTTGACATTAAAATTATTAATACGTCGCTGATGAGCTTCTCCAATAATAATAATACTTTCATATTCCAAATTATTTAAAAAAGCAATACTATTTTCAATTTTCGTTTACTATTTTAAATTCTCAAATATTGGGTTTTAAAAAAAATTCTCAGTAGTAGCACGGAGTCTGGTATTGGACTCGTAACATAAATAGTGAAAAGTGAGTGTTACATTGTACAGTGGTATAATGTGTACCTCTGCCTACCCCTACGGGGATAAAAGGCGTGATGGTATGTATGTATGTATGTTTCTTCAATTTTTTACTAAAACCATTCTTTCTCTCTTCACTACTCTTGTGTGGGGCTTGTCACTACGTTCATTCGTTTCCTTCTACTAACTCCATCAGACTTCTAGATCAAAAGATAGCATATGCTATCGTTCCCATCACGAGCCTGCGGACGGCGAACACGGGTAGCTCGTCGCCTGACCAGATCCAAACCCGAACAAACGACGAGTCACGTTCCGCGTTCCGCGCGGCTCACAGAGCCATCAGACTACCACCGATGGGACCCATGAGGGCTGTTGCCGATGCGGAGCCGCGATGAACGTATAAGGTTACCGGGGCTCCGGCTCGAAGTGCAGGAGTAGGAACGGGGTGGTTTTTAGTCAGTAAGAGTCTGACACTCCCTCCCGCCTCACCTAGCCAGGAGAAGATATTCGATGATGTACTCCCTTAAAAAAATGCTATCGTTCCCATCAAGTTACTATTAGCAATTAACGACTTCATTCTATTACCTACATCATTGTCGCGGAGAACCTAACTGGTAACCGGGGCTCCGGCTCGACGTGCAGGAGAAGGAACGGGGTGGTTTTTAGTCAGTAAGAGTCTGACACTCCCTCCCGCCTCACCCAGGCGGAAGCAGTCCGCAGCAGCAGCATAAAAAAATACCTACATCATGTACCTCTATCTATTCTAGATAAGCAAACCAGATGTTGATGTTATTATGAATCAAACACAGCCCCGCCTCATGGTGTGATCAAAGTACGTGTCGACCTAGTGATCCAATTGCGTAACTGTTTGTATGTTTAGTCTAAGATACAACTTAGAGCCTTGACCTCCGGTAATCAGTTGCAACGTTATCTATGTTCAAGCGCCAGGAAATATCTTGTTTGCATTCGATTCTGTTGAGGTGTATGTCTATTTGTCTTATTATAATATGTTTATGTGGCGAATTATATGACAGATTTGTTAGAGAAGTACATCTATTGTCCCCAAGTCCAGTGCGCACTTTGTTTTTAGAAACACATGTCATGTTCTTAAAAACAATCAAGAGCAATCTAATGCATCTTTTGCTTGTTTTCACCTATGTGTCTTAAAGGGACCCCTAAGCTAAGTTTCGTGACAATTGAAGACATTTTGGTTTTCATCAACCTGTAAGTGATATTTAACAATACAAGTAAGGGGTTAGTTTAGGTGCCGCCTTAGACTAAGTAGCTCTTAGTTTAAGAGGTGGTTTAGGGACGGTTATTGACAATAAAATAGGCATTAGTAATCTAAACACACAGGCAATGTAGGTGCCATATGGTACGTTAGTGACGTCACAGCAGTTCCAAATGAACTCACAACTATCCGAACGGACTTGCAAATAAATGAATTTTCAAATTGAATTCAACTTGATTGTCATCTTTGGTAGCCTTTGCTGGAATTTATTGCGGTTCTTTTCTGTCTCCCATGACTAGAGCGTTGTTAGGTAATAAAAATTGTCATCAACATCATGTCACCCTCTTTTGTTAACCTTCGCAATAAAAGTAACACGTTGTGAAAGCAATCACAAATAATATGATACGAAGTCACATTAGTTAATCGCAAAGTCGATCACGAAACACACTGCCGTACCATCCTTTACTGGAACCATTTCGCCGCATTTTCAGGCCTTTATTTGAGAACCTCTGGATAAGACCAAAACGCAGAAATGTTCACCATGCAGTAAGCTATAATCACATAATTATAATCCAAAATTTCAAGTCTGTATGGTGTTAAGTAAAATCGCGGGTTACTCACCTGAATATACGAGTAAAGCTCTACTAGTTTTGAACCACAGAGGGGTTCTTCCTCATGAGCAGCGTGCGCGGTCGCGGCGTCACGTCGCGCAGCTCAGTGAGTTGCGCGACGTCGCCGCGACCTAGTTTATTAATTTAGTATGTCTCACGATAGTTATTATAAAAATCTGTATGGTGTATTGCACGTGGTTTGCATCCTTGTGTACCCTTCAACGGCCAAGTCACATAACATTAACTATGATAACAAAGAAATCGCAGTAAGAAACCTTAGACTTGACACGACTGTGTCAAAATTTCATTACTTTTTAGAGATGAACGAGCGGGTCCATTGAGACTTGGCTAATTCTTTTACAAAATGTTTTTGGTTGGTCTTTGTCCTATTGATTATTACACCAAATGTTCCTTTTTTACTAATTTGTTAAGTTGTTTACACACAAGCGTATGGTTGTTGGTTATTCTTTTTCGTTGGAGTCGAGTGATTTTATGGTAGGTACACATTTTTTTAACTGACTTCAAAAAAAGAAAGAGGCTCAGTTTGACCTACAGGTCTCAAAAACATACAACGCGCACAAACATATATACCTGCATACGTGTATGTAGATATGTATGTTGGTGCCCGACTATCTCGTGATTGGCTGAACCGATTATGATGTTCTTTTCTGAAAACTGTATGTTACACTTAGGAAAAGGTTTTAGTATATTAACAAACCGACTTAACAAAAAGAGGGGTTGATGTCAGTTTTTTTAAACATTGTTTGTAATTGGCCTCTGCCTGCCGACTGCCTCGTTGGCCGAGTGGTCGCAAGTGCGACTGCCGGGCAAGGGGTCTCGGATTCGATTCCCGGGTTGGGCAAAGCATTACTGGGTTTTTTCAATAATCTCAGTGGTAGCACGGAGTCTGGAAATGTGCCCGGTATATGGCAATAGGCTCACCCCCTATTACATGGGACTCGTAACATAAATAGTAAAAAGTGGGTGTTACATTGTACAGTGGCATTAAGTGCCGTAATGTGCACCTTTGCCTACCCCTTCGGGGATAAAAAGGCGTGATGTTATGTTATGTAATGTTTGTAATTGTGCCCATAGATAGAAGGTTGGGGAATGACACAGATACTATGGACTAAGTCTCTAGGTTCTCATAAATTCATAGAACCGGATGTCTTTATCTTAGCGGTGATGGAGTAAGCAATAATTGTTTCTATTTTAATTAATTATGTGTATGCTAAAAACAGTCACATTTTATGTAAATTAATTATTGTAGTACGTGACTCAGGGCAGGTTTGTATAGTTGTATGTCGAATAATTATCTTTGTTTTTCATAATGGTGAATGATATTGGTAATCAAAAATACTTTGGATCTTACCGCTTTGGAATTGTGTGTGAAAGGCCTATTCAAAAATCTAACTGTGTTTAACTTAGTAAAGTTTTTCATGAATAGTTTCTAGTCACCATGTTTTGATCACAGTTCCCTACAAAGCAATGACATTCATTTATAACCTACTTGTGAATTACTGTTTTCCAAAATACAAGCTTACCTATACCTTAGTTTGTAAAGCAGTATCAGTATCTTTTATAATTCACACTCGTCTATGTAATTGTCGTATTTCCGTAAATCAAATATTATGATATTTTGTGACAATAAATAATTTTTATTTTTTATTTATTTTATTTATCTCTACCTACTTTTCCGAGGCTAAATTTATTCTACCTGAACCGTTCAAACTTCAACCGCCTAC